TGTTATATTTAATTATTGCTAATTATAGATGTTTTATCGGCGATTACAACAAAAACAATTACAATAATACGATTACATTTTTTTTAATAAAAAAACATAAATATTTTAAATTATAAATAGAGCCTTCTTCAAAAATACAGGAATTATCATTATAGATTTATTTGTATGGTACTATAGTCATTTCGTACCATTTAAAGAAATGTTGAGCATGTTATGATGATTATCGGGAAAAATCTTGAATCATAATTATTATGGTAGGAGCAATCGTCAAAATACATTTTCATATTTACCCATGGCTAAGATGGAGCATTTTTTACTTTCTTTTATTTATTTAATCAAATTAATTGGCAGGCTTTTTTTGTATTGGCCATGTCCATGCTTTGTTTTATACTCCACTCACCAGTAAGGCGTTCCAATGAAAGAGTCTCTCCTCTGGAAAGTTTTGGTGTTTTTGGCCGACACACCAAAGTCAGCTGGAAGACATGGGACAAGCCAGAAATTAACCAAAGGAAAACCACTGTCACCATTTATTTTTAAAACGCAAAAAAGTACAAAATAAAAATAACTGTCCCTATGTGCAGCACAAGCCCAACACTGCCTGAGAGACCATTTGCTGATGGAACATTCTTCCTACATTTGCATGCTGACATCATGCCTTATCTGTGTCGTGTGTGGGTAACAACTCATCCGTGAACAGACACCTCTGTGTGTTATGTCACCAGACAAAATGCTTGTTGTGTGTTATTTCACTGAGCAGCAGTGACTCACACCCCTTAAGTAAACTACGTTACTGAAACTGCTGTGTACACGTTTGTTTACACACCGAGCAGCAGGTCCAACCACTTGCCATAGTGCACAAGAGTCATTAATTTACATTTTGATAATGACAGTAAGACTGTGCGCAGTATACGAAGCGGTGAATTTCCTTTTTACATATTTTTTTTTTTTAAAGGCATTCCACTGATTTGACTCACCAAGTTTAGATTTCTACTCAGCCTGGGAAATAAGTTGTATGTTTGTTTTATCTTATCTTCTTTGGGATGAACTGAGAATGTCCCATTGTTCTTCACAGCAACACATTCCTCTAGCCGCTCAAATACAGATACAGTATGTGTTCTTTACCAGTGGCGACTGGTCATTAGGGGCAGGTACAGCCCCACCTAATGTCAGCAGAAAGTATTAAAATAATAATTACAAAAAAATGCAAAAAAAATACATCTTAAAATATATTTTACGATCATGCGGCTGCCATTTGCCCATCCCTGGTCTACAGTGTGCCTATTGAGCCGTTTTGAGCGACGTGGGTCAAGCCCCGATCAAGCCCCTCTCTCTCACTGTCCCCAAGTGAATGGGTGCTGCAAAAAAATAATCACCATAGGGGCACTGTGCTGACATACCCACCGAACGTCAATCTCACATAATTCAGAGCTGATTGGCTGTAAGTACGTGTGCCGCAAAAAAGTGTAGTGTGTGAAGAGGAGACGAGAGAGGTGCAGTGACGCATCCTAAAACCCGGAAGTAAGCTGCGCATGGCTTCCCTCCACAAAAAAGCAATGAGATTTCTCCATAGGATTTTAGAAAATAGCTCGAAATAAGATCTGTGGGAAACGTACGTGTTAGATAAATGCACATTTTGTTCAGCCGGATAATATCCACATGTCTACCTACTTTTATAATTTTCTAATCATAAATCTAGCGATTATAAATCTATCACTTAGATTTATGATTCGACTTTTGAAACTACAAGAAGATAAGGAGGACTTTTACAAAAAAGTAATAGAGATTTTTGTCCAGAAGGATAGCATGGACTTCATCTTCAAGTCAAGGTAAGACCACAATTGTATTGAAAATGGGATCTTACTAAGAGAGAACAATTCAATATTTAAAGGATAAAATTACATTTTTTGAACTGTCTGTTTAAAATTAATCGAAGTATCAGACTAAAAAAGCTTTTGAAAATAATATAATATTTTGATTTAGGTCAAAATATAATATTTGTAAACCTGAAGAGTCAGTGCCTCACCAGCCATGAACCTCACTGCACGTCACTGCACGTCACTGCAGAAGCTTATATATAAACATCTACGTTTTTTGTGCCCCACCACTTTTATACATATAAAAACGCCACTGTTCTTTACTAAAGAACCAATGGAGATATAGACATGAAAAAACCTCTTACAGATTACCGAGTTGCATTATGGGAAATGGGTTGAGGGTCATCGGATCTGCTGTTTCAATTCTGTATACAAACTATTTTAAAACAATTTATTACATTTGTACCTAATTTTCTAGAAGAAATTAGACAAACTAACGGCCACATTTACTTGAAATTATTTCCTCTGGTTATTTTGGAAATCTTTTGCAATAGAAAACCACATTCATTCTTCTGACTGTTTAAAGAGCAACTTGCAGTTTTTGTTTTTTTTACATTTATGCTTAACCTTGCCTGAAAATTACAATTAAAAAAGTTAATGCAGGATTTCATATATTTGACGAGACATAAGGGCAGGAATTCAGAGGGGAAAGTAGCCGTTTTGAGTTCTGCTTTTTTTTAACGTCATATGTGAAACGCGTCATATTACGTCACATGGGGGAGCAACTTTCTCGGACTCCTTCTCTGCCCAATTCACGGTAGTAGTTGGTAGTTGGTTTGAGCGGTTGTGATTTAGTGAGCTGGTATTTTTTACTCGGTAATTTTACATTGCATTTCACCATTTTTAATTATGGTGAGCTATTGTTTTTGTGCAGGTTGCACAAACTCCAGCCTGTCAGGACATCGAGTCCACAGGAAAAGGACCGGAGCTAGCTTTCGTTCCTGGGTGCGTTGTGCGAGGTGCATCCACCCCCCTGCAGCACATACTCTCTCCAGAGGCCATGGGCTTGCATTTCCCACACAAGCACCTTTCAAACAAAACGTTTATCAGGAAACCGTATACGGCTGATACTTGCGCATTAGTTTCTGTTATGGATTAGTATCAACAGTCCTCCCTGTAACGTTACTATATTATCAATACTACTTTAGTTATAGCCTGATATATGATAGCTAACTTTACAATGTTGTGATGTGACCAACGTTAGCTAACATTAACTGTAGCTAAAGCCGGTCACTCACCAAGACAGCTGCCCAGTTCTCCACTGGTTCTCCTCACACCACAGCTCCATTTCTCTCCGATGGCCGTTATTTCTTCTAATCCTTGGCTGCTCCTGGTCTCTTATGGCGCTTTTCCACTGCAGGCCTCGCTCGGTTTGGTTAAGCCTAGGCCCGGCTCACTTTAATGCTGCGCTTCCATTACAGTTTAGGAACTGGGGTAGTTACTATAGTAACGCTAACGCAGTGTAGGCGGAGCCGTGACGTCATCTTCAATGAGCGACCCAGAAAAACAACACAGCCATTAGCTCTTAGCACTCAGAGCTCACAGCTCTTCATATCTGTTCAGAAACTAGACAAAAGTTAAACAAGTACAAACCACAGACTGCCTGTGTCATGGCGAATACAGTCGCTGGTTTATTTATGTCTGTATGGGCCGTTGTTGAGAGTGTGGACGGTCGGAGCATATATAACGTTAGCTTAGCCAAGCTCCATTTAGAAAACACGCATTTTAAAAAGGGTTTTTCGCCTGCCGTCTGTCTGCAGACTTGTCAAAGCATTAATTCATGGTTTTTACTAACCGGTATCAGTATGTTGTTACTTCGGCATCATTTTGAAACGTGTATTACAATTAAATCACGGTCAAATATGTTCATCTTGTTGTAGTTGTAGCCCCCTTGCCAGCGATTCTCTCTCTAGTTTAGCATACTCAGCCCGACTCAGCCTGGTTGTTCCTGGCCCTAGAACCACGATTTTATGGGGCCAGAAAAACTGTGAATTAGGACCCACTAGCCGGTACTAGGCCAAGTGGAAACGCAACCAAAAACGGGCCCCGCACGGCTCGGCACGCTTAAAGCGAGCTACCCGCTGCAGTGGAAACGCGCCATTAGACGCCTAGCAGGTTCATAATTATAAGGTTGTGGTCCGTCATGTGCATACAAATATACATTTTCAACCTCTTCTGTGTCAAAACTAGCATTGTGAACCATGTTTATTGATACGTTAGACCGGCCGCTCTCCCTGATGTGACGTCACACGCGGCGCGGGTGGTCTTTTTTTATGCTGAAGTAGGTATGTCTTACAAAAACGACGCCAGATGTCACTGTAGTGTATATTTCTGTATATCTTTTTGAAAATCTAGTTTATACATAATTTTCCTTCACATTTATTCACTGGGGTCTTTAACCTGCAAGTTACTCTTTAATATACAGGGTGTACTAACATTAGAAGAGTCATGTGGATGTGTAAGCTTGCATAAAAAGAGACTGAGGCTAGTGTCAGAGTGGCCAATTTCTGATCCATACGATACCACGACACCTCGGTTTTGACACAGTTTTGAGACCTGTGTGTGAAAGCCCTTAGGTAACTGAACCTAACCATGTGTTTGGCCTGCATGTGTGAAAAGGGCTATACATGGATGCACTGCAGAGTGCATTCCTGTTCAGTTTTCAGCTGTTAAATCTTGAGAAAACACAAGATAAATACATGGGGACTGTGGCCAAAGGCGCATTGCTAGACTGTGAATTCATTAATGATTTTCTCCCTAAAACAGGAAAAATGAATACACAAGTGAACCAGAATAAATGGACTTCCACATTAGGACAATAGGGGTGCAGGAATGAGTCCTAAAATGGAGAAATTACACACTTAAAAATGTTGGGTTGTTTTGTCAACCAAACCACTAGGTTGAGCCTGTTGGTTAATTTAATTGGGTTATTTTGATGGAAATGGATATTCTGAGAACCCAATTCGCTAGGTTATTTCTGTTGGGAATGGAGTTATTAGCTGTTGGGTTGCAATTTCTATGAAGTTGTGTTGGTTTGTTTTGTAATACCCAAACACATTGGGTTGACGTTCGGGCATGCGCATTGCACAACCCGCGAAACCAAGCACCTCCCACTACTCTCCCGCTCCAACACGACAGTGATGGTCGGACGGTCCCACTGAAGTGAAGAGAGGATACTCGATTCAGTACAAAGCAAGGTTTGTTACATACATTACATATACATTGTTTTACCATGTAGTTGACTTGATATTATTATATAAAGCGTCATATTGTTGTTAAGATGTAAGTTCGTGGAGCACTGTTGTGTACATTGCATCAAAGTAGCAAGCTAACACGTTAGCTGGCTAGCTATGTAGCAAACACACTATGTTGTTGTTACTCGAAATGACTCGAGAAATGTGTCATGTATTGTAGCTAGGAGGACAACGTTAGTTATCTCGTCAATTTGGCTTTTAATGCAATATCACACAAGTGAGTGTTATGGAGGGGAAAGCGCGGTGGTGAATCAGCTAGCCTCTGCATGCTAGCAGGCCTCAGCCTCACCAGGCTTTCCACAGCACCCATTTAACCGCCGACTAAAACTTTGGTAACGTTAACGTTAGGCCTAACCGTTATGTTAAAACAGTGAAAAGACGTTTGGACTACTGAATCTTATTTCATGTTATTGTATGTTTTTTTCATAATGGACTGTTTGTGTTGATGTTTCAGGTTTATACGAACAATCGATGGACGATTTTGTGACCTCAAAGTTGATTGAGTGGCAGCTTCCAGGGCTGATAGAAAGGTTCAGAGGTAAACTAATTTATAAGTCATCTCCATGCCTTCATTTTATGGGTACTGTGTTATGGTTCAGCCCCTGTCATCATTATGTGCCTGCTATATGCTCTCTGCATAGGAAATGAATGGGACTAGTTAGCCACTGTAGCTTGCTGTCAATGCCTCAGTTTTTAACACTGGGTGATCCATCTTGTGATTCAAATATCTTTACTGTAGTTCAACTGTAGTAGTTTACTGTCTACTACAGGGGTGGACAACTTTGATGATGGAGAGGGACACACTCTCTCTAGAGAGCCACATTGCATATATATATATACTGTAGCCAGGCCCGGACTGGCCATCGGGAGGACCGGGAGGTTTCCCGATGGCCTGGCCTGTTAAGTGGCATGCTGGCCTGAGGATTTTTTTTTTATGTATGTATTGTGAACGCAACGCTGCGCAAATGTGGGTCTGACTCTGCCTCACAGAGTGTGACTGGCTGTATACATGATGTGGCCTGCCGACATGGCCACTTTCATACTAGTGATGTGTCGGTCGCGAACGAGCCGGCTCAAAGTGAACGACGGGAGCCGGCTCGCGCCCGCGAACGAGCCGGATTTTTTTTTTGCGGAGGGATCTAGATCGGCATGAAGGCACATTATGCAATGTGCACATTATCCCGCTTATTACATGGCCACATTCTCAACAAATTAACGACATGACTCCCAATATTAATTGAAATGCTTTTATGGATTTAGAAAATGATTTTATTGATTTATTGAGTTGTATGTATTTAAATTGACATGAATCCGCTAAGAAAAATAGTCCGTTGTTACTGTTTGAACTAACGTAGCAACGGCAGGAACTGCTTCGATAGTGTTTTTGAGGAGCTTTTTGATTACAGATTTGAAAACATCGTTGCTTGCTTTAAAAGTAGCACAATTCATTATGTCAAACCTTGGAAAGTATCTAGATATCCCTGCCCTAATGCCAAAGTAACTGGCAACTGAATATGTGTCGCCGTTTGATGTCTATGTCTGGACCGCTGCGTAAAAAGGAGGGTTTCTGCCCCATTACTTCTCTTCTTACTTCGATAAGAATAAAACACGGAGGAGGGAGATCTCTTTTTCTCCCCCTCTTCTGACAGCCCAGCAGCTGATCTCAGAGCACGCTGCCCTCTCCTGCAGGGGGGCGTGGTCAGCTGCAGCTCACAGAATCATATATATACTTTATATAGATATGGCCCTACAATATATTGTTCAAATATAGCATGATAGGTCCACTTTAAGTAATACAAGACAGAATGATGATGATGATCTCCGCGCTACAGCTGCTCCGTGCATGCATGCAGGTGACATGTAATATCCAAGGATTAGAGACTGTTGGATGCTGCTGTTTTGAGCATTGCAATATATTTATTTTCACTAGGCTATGTTATTTATTTATGATTATCCTTAGGCTCAGCAAAGATTTGATGTCAGCTGTTGCTGTCTTTTTTTCTATAGCTAATAGTTACTGAAATAGAGCCCTGCTGTTTTGTCAGGGCCTTTTCTTTAAATATAATTTTAAAATGTCGATACAGTAGCCCCTTTTTTAAAATAGTTTTTATAGGTGTTGCTATCTGTTTTGTGTAGCGTGGTTCGACAAGCAAGTCAATGCATTCATTGGGTGGTATCAGAGAGTTAAGGGTCTGTAAATGCAATGAAAACATTTGGCCACAGCAAATCATTTAAATTAAACATGTAATTTTTACTTTTGAATACTTCAGTACAAAGGATGTATTGAATAATTTAAGTGATATATGTGTGTACACATATAAATCATTAGTCAAAACAGGGCTACATTTGATTTAATTAAAAGGTATAATATGTGGTAAACTGAAGAGCCGTTTGGGAGCCGAAAGAGCCGGCTCTTCTTGGTGAGCCGAGCCAAATGATCCGGCTCACCAAGAAGAGCCGGAATTCCCATCACTATTTCATACAGATCATACTAATGCCCTCGATTGGTCTCTGTGTGTCATTCAAGCTCGGGAGGGTGTGTGTTAGTGTATGTGTGGCACGAGCGAGTGAGACAAAGCGCACGCACCGATTACGTGTATTGTTGTTGTTAACATCTGGTGCTAGCTAGCTGCGCTAACGGATATAAGGAGCTTTTTCAAGAACAAGGTGGGGGGAGAGTCCTCTCCAGTCAGACTGAGAGACTGATAACTCCAGCTCAGGTGAGGTAAAGGACTCTCTCAGTGTTTAGATAGTTAACTTTGTCTAAGTTATCTCTGTGGGTCTCAAACGGTTTGGTCACCATTTATGTAAACACATATTTCCATTTGAAGGGGGAGTGATTAGTAAAATATGCATGAATAATAATAAAAAAAACATTAACTAGGTGAAAAAAGGCAAGATAAACTATTAAAACTTGTTGAGAGCTAAAACTAGTCTTTGCTGCTGCCTCAAAGAGGAGCAGGGGGCAGAGGAGCGAGACAGGTGAGGCTGGTTCAGGAGCACAGACACACTCACTATAAATGAACCAAAAACAAATAAATAAACAAGTTTCAATGTTTTTTCATATTGTATATGGTATGTTATTGGTTATGGCCATGTTTTTATGATTTTATGATTATTTAAATGTGTACAGTTATGTTTCATATGGGTGTAGTCTCTTTATTTCCCCCTCAAAGTGCACCAGATTGATGCATTTAAGTCCAACATTTAAAAAAAAAAATCTTACCGGGGCGGCATGCCCCCGGACCCCCCTATAGGATTTGAGGTCCACCCCCACTTAAAATATGTTCACATAGGTTCCTAAATAGATTTGCAAATTTTTTTAAATAGTAACCATGTCCATATGTTTATTTTTGGGTAGTAGATTTAGAGGGCTATCACTACGTGCAGCAACGCTGTAAAAATTGACAAATAAATCCAGCAAAATGGCACAAAAAACTGGTAGTGGCCTGGCTGGGTGTATAATTCCCGGCCTGACTTATTGTCCCAGTCCGGCCCTGACTGTAGCAAAAATAGTAGATCTACCAGCTCAAAACGTGTCGCAGTGCGACACGTTTTGAGCTGGTAGATCTGCTATTTTTGAATTGGAATTCTACATTTTTTTGCAAATTTTGAATTTGAATCCTGAAAAGTAAGATTTTTACTTAATTTCAAATGCATTTAATAACATTTTCAAATGCATTTAATAATACTTATGCTAACTTTATGAACTTAAATACAAATACATTGGACATAAAAAAGACCATACAATTTGAATACAAGTCATTAAGCTACTAGTATAGACTGAAGTAATTAAAGCAGCTGAAATCAAGTATAACAGCTCAAATCAAATCAACCTGCGGGCCACATTAAATTAAGGTGCTGGCCGCATGTGACCCCCGGGCCGGCAGTTGCCCATGTATGGTCTACTACTTTTGGATTAATTGATTAACTGAACTGGGTGTTCCCACACAAATCAGGTGCATGGCTGGTGTGACACGGTGCAACATCAATAGAGGGGGACACCAAAAGGGGAGGGGGGATCCGTCCCCCTCCATCAGAAAATGGCAGATCTGTCGCATTAACCTCTGATCTTAGCTTTTTGTACGGTCACGGTCGACCGATCCCATGACTCCCACGTCCCCTAACCCCATGCCTCATGTTCTGTCGGCATACATGAGTATGCTCACAGCATAAGTGTTTCGGCGGCTGAGAAGGACAGGGTGGGGCAGAGGCATGCAATTTTACTGAGGTGGGAAAATATTTTGGTGATTTGATTGATGTGTAACTTTATTTTATTGTATTATACGGCTATTTGAGTTTATATTGACACCCATAATTGTCCTCCTACAGATGCCAGGGGAGAAGTAGCCCTGATGCTGCTGCCTGTCATGCTCCCTCCGCCTGTTTATAAACAGGGCAGAAAATTGGTCCGCGCCAGTGTGGAAGAATCAAAGAGATTCTTCATTGATGTTAAGCCTGTAAGTAATTTATCTTTGAACAGAAATTCAAATATAAATTCATAGTGAAATGACTCCAATTATTCTTTTACACTGTTGGAAAGCCTGATTCCTCTTTACAACGAGGTGCAACTTGTAAAGATTGTATTCGTGGAATGAGTGACACAGCTTAACATTTGTCAGAATACTCATTTCATGAAGCACTATACTTACAAGTTGTAACTCGGTGTAAGTTGCTACTCCATATCGACGTGGGATGTATAAACCACAGACCACACATAAGTAGACTGGCCACGCACCCAGAATAAATTGTTTAAGACCACGCCATTGAATTTAGGGCTGTCACGCTTCTTTCTTAAATCAGCTGATGGGGTGGGAGGGGGTTGAAAGAGCTTCAGTAGAGAGCTGATGACAATTTCTCTTAGGGCTGTGCAATTAAATCGTATTTTAATCGCGATTACGATTATGGCTTGCGACGATTATGAAAACAGCATAATTGACAAAATACGATTATTTTGCTGGGTGCGCTTTCGCCCCTCCCTAAAAGCCCACTCGGCCACGTGGGAGTGACATGTGTTGTGAGTGTTCAGCGAGAGCGAAGATGTCAGAACAAGAGCAGCAACTCGTTAAAAAGAAGGGTAAAACTATTTCCACTATTTGCAAGTACTTTGCCATTACATTTCACATCGCTAAAGATATGTGCACTGTTAGCAACCAGGGCTTTAAGCAACTTGTCAACACGTTGGACAAGCGTTACGCGATGCCGTCTCGGTATTATTTCAGCAGGTCTGCGCTGCCTGCACTATATGACAAATGCCGTGGGGAAGTTGAGAGAGCTGTGGCTTCAGCTGACTACTTTGCTACCACAACAGACCTATGGTCTAGCCCAGGGGTGCCCAACCAGTCGATCGCGAGATGTGTCTAAAAATAGAACAACAATATTCTGTTTTATCGTTAATGTCCTGTAACATAATCTTCCTGTGCCAGAATAATGCACTTGAACGCATCAAAGCTTTGTGATTGGCCGGCGTCACCCCATGTGTCGGGGCGTGGCTGAGGGTCTTCAGTACAGGTGGCAATATCGTCACCTGCCTGCGCTCATCTCTGAAACCAGACCATGTAAACAGGCTGGTGTTTCTTGCAAAACATCTTTAAGAGATGACACGAGCAGCCCTACCAGCATTTGCCATGGTGGCCTAAACATTTTTATTGGGTCTTAAATTGTAGTTCAACATTTATTTCCTGTTACTTCTGGACCATGACGGTGGGCCAGCCTTCAACGTTTAACTGAGTGGAATAATGAATATGTTTTTCCAAAATGTTGGCTATATGTTAAGGAGTTTTCAGTAGGTTGTGACAGTGCACTGCAACATATTTGATTTAATTTATTTTGGTCTAATTTATTTTTATTTATCATATTAATAATATATGTTTAGTATGGTTTTGGAAGTGTGCTCCAACATATTTGTTGATCTTGTTTATTGGTAAAATATTATTTGTTTTAAAGTTCAATAAATGGTCAATGAATAATCGTCAAAATAATGGTGATATCAATTATTGACCCAAATAATCGTGATTATGATTTTTGCCATAATCGCACAGCCCTAATTTCTCTGCACCGGTAGAAATACTTATCTTTTTTATTTTCTTTCTCATCATAGGTCGGAACTAACATGGTGGAGTATTTGGAGCAAGCCAAATAGTCCAGGTCGTGCCCGTTCGTGCTACTGCTTGAGGATGGGATGCTGTGCTCAAGCCTTTGTTGTGATCTCAGGCAAGGCTATTGAGACTGAGACGGCTCTCGCAGCTGTGGATACCTGTTTTAAGAGTTTTTATGTCTTTGACATACAATATACAAGTCAGTGTTTTCCTACTTGGCAATTTTTCCAGGATGTGGTTTATGAACTCGAGGGAACTGTTTCCCCAGCAGTGAAGTTCCTGAAAACTTAAATACATGCTTGCAACTAGATTGGCCTGCATCCCCCCCACCCATCTCTTCCTTTCTCTCTCCTCTCCCTCTTGTTCCACATCTCTCCTAGTATCAATAACCCTTGTGTGAGGAACTGTCCCTACGCTGCCTACATGGAAATAAGAAACGTGGTTCCACTTGATTCATTGTTGTCCTCTTTTACCTGGAGGTGAATAGTTTCCTGGTGTCTTCCCGATGAACCGAGACATAATGGGGGGAGATAATTTTATGGGAATATTTGTGTCATTACATCTTATGTCAGTGAAATGGAAAGCTAATGTTTTGGAGCTGTTACAGGAGAAATGTTGTGGAATTTTATGGAAATTTTATATTTTGATGTGTTATTCTGTGATTTGAATTTGAATAAATCATTATTGTTACATTGGTGTGAGAATATATTTGATCAAGAAAACAACCGAAGGATCAGAGGTGAGTAAATGCCAACAAGATTTATCACACAATTGTGATAATGTGATAATTTTGTTAAATTGATGACTATCAGTTGTGCCAATTAAATGTCAATTATAAAAGGGAACAACCCATTATAATTAGTAATAATTAATAATTATACATTAACAACTAAACCCAGCAGTGTAGTCAATGTGAACCCTTCATTGGGTTATATAACCAACCCAATTTGTTGGGTTATATAACCAACCCAATTTGTTGGGTTAAATTAACCCAGCGTGTGTTCTGTCCAATATTTAACCAGCTGGGTTGGGAAACTACCCAGATTGGGTAGTTTTTAACCCTGCATTTATAAGAGTGTAGTTAGCATTGTAGAACTACCGGTTCCCTCATCTTGAATTCGACATTTTCTATAAACATGTTATAGTCTTATTTTATGCCTGAAATAAGATTTGTGATTAACACAGCAAACCTTAGCCACCTTTAGCTTAGCGGTGGTTATGCGTAAAATGCAGCCATTACACAGTTATGTTGTTTCTTCATAGCCTTCATAACGTTAGCTATTTCCTTAAAGGGGACCTATCATGCAAAATGCACTTTTGTATGTCTTTTATACATGAATATGTGTCCCCGGTGTGTCAGGGAACTCACCAAGTGTCAGAAAACACAACCCTCTCTCTTTTCCTCCATACCCAAATCTCTAAAAACGGTGCTGCAACGGATCTGATACAGACTGATCCAGATTTGAAAATGATCCGCCTATATGGCCAACTCTCCACCTATCAGGGGAATGTGGGGTTGGGCCACGGCCGGCCATTGCCGCTCGAAAGCGTTGGAGACGCTGTAGTACATATGCCAGGCCTGTAAGTGGCGCTGTAGTCTGCCACAAAATCAGCGAAGACTTCCCGCGCATGGTTGCCATTCTGTTTATTCTCCTCTGGCTCTTTTTCTCCCTCCCCGAGGCAAGCGTTTGCTCCTGCTGCTGTAATTCAATGCAATCCCTCCCCGTCGAGGCAAGCACTGTAATTCTCTCCGGTTTGCCACCAGCAGATGACAAACACCCACCTCTCCGCCTCTTCCAAGGAATGAGGGGACCGTGCGGCAGAGTTTCAGTTAGATTTGTTTTCGCCGGTCAACATGTCCGTTAAAGTTTAAATCTTCTGGACAAAATTAGAAAAGTGCCGGTCAAAGGTCTTCTTTGTTATTTATTGAGCTTTAAAACAAATGAATAATGACTCTATATAATCACATAAGAATAAAACACGGAGGACGGAGATCTCTTTTTCTCCCCCTCTTCTGAGAGCCCAGCAGCTGATCTCAAAGCATGCTCCCCTCTCCTGCAGGGGGGCGTGGTCAGCTGCAGCTCATTTGCATTAAAGCTACGTCACAGAATCAGCCCCTGCAAAAGCAGGGCTGGAAAGAGCAAATAGAGCTAAATGAGGCATGGCTAAAATGCAGGATCTGTTTGGTAATTTGAAAAAAAAAACTATATTTATATACTTTATATAGGTATGGCCCTACAATATATTGTTCAAATATAGCATGATAGGTCCACTTTAATATAAAAGTAGGGTAAAACAGTATGTGTATTTTATCCTCCTGAACAAATTGTGTAAATATCCAAAATGTGTGTTTTGCACATATCTTATTTCTTGCTACATTCCGAAATACCACTACTTTTAGTTGAGGGTGCTTTTCTAAATTCCGGGTCGGCTTAAAATAAAATAAATGTCATCACTGCACCACCCTATTCAGCCAAGTTTCCTCTACCCTGTCTGTTTTGCATTAATATGTTGTACTTTCTGGTGTTAGCAGCTGGATTTCACTTTGTCCTTACCCAGCTTGACGTCCCCGTCCAGTGTGAGGAGGATGTTGCCGGCTTTCAGGTCTCTGTGGATGATTTTGTTGTCGTGGAGATAGACGAGAGCCTCCAGAGTCTGCTTACACACTACCCGGATCTGCGGCTCTGTCAGGGGTCTCTCCAGCTCTACAGGGGATCACACAGGCTTAGACATTCTGACCGTGGAGTTCTCTACAACCTGTGTACACCTGGCATAACATGCGATCACAGGTGGACAGCTCTGAATACAAGTGCAAACAACCACCAAAAAGCATTGTCATCTGATCAGTTATATCCCTGGGAAGCATTCGACCACATAAAATCATTGTAGTGTAAACGCTAATTTAGTGGGAATGCTGATACAGCATTCCAACTACTTGTTCTTTGACGCACAAAATTCTTTATTATTCCGCCGGGTTATTTTGCGCCTCTTCTGCTCCAACATTCCACATTGCAGAAACTCCGTTCAAACATCAAAACGTTCAGCTCGGTCGGGAATCGATGGCTATTACTTTTCTCATTCATAACTTTCATAATTCCAGAGATATATCCCATCATTTATCAAATTTTGGAAGTCAATGGAGAAACTCTTCAGACTTGAAAAATCTTCATGCGACTTCAACTGCTAACTGTTCCTTCATACTTTCACTCAGAAACCTCATTCCAACTTTAAAATGTTACACATCTTTCTGACATTATTCGTGTAACACAACTTTTAAATCTGATTCTTACTTTTAGAGATATTAAACATTGTTCAGACCTTGGTAAAGAGGCCTTC